ATTAATGGCGCCCATATCGGAGATCGGGATGTCGATTGGCCTATTTCGACCGCGCCAGCACTACGTCGTTACCATACGTCGTCACGAGTTTACAAAGACCAATGTGGCTGCGATAACAGTGATTAGTGCCTTGAGGAATGAGAAATCTGTCTCTTTATGAACACACCGTACAAAGTGGAGTGTGCGTCATGTTCAAATTCTACATCGGAAAATTGAACGACCGCTTTACAAAAGCATGATGGACATGTATGGGCCTTTTGAAATCCAGCCAGTTATTCGAATCGCCTTTTCCCGAGACATCATTCATCATGCCACACGAATAAGAGTGCGCCTCAAGGTGCGCGTAATTCACAGGAACATGAGTGATCCAGTGGAGAGGAAAAGAAGAGATTTGCTAGAGAATACCGGGGATATGTTACATATGAAAGATCGCAGAGTATCACTTATTACCATCTTATAACTGCTTCACCAATGTAGTTGTGTCATTTCTATAGAAAAGTAGAGCTGGGGTTTCGGCGAATCGTTAGACTATCTGGCACCAAACTCGCACCCACTCCAGCCGGACCCCGAATCCTGTGGGAAGCCGGAAGCAGTTATTTGATTGCTTCCCTCTTCAAATTTTTGTTATGTACGCATAGTAGTCATTTGATGCTGGTGTAGGCCATGCATGTGATATTTGTAGACCTCAAGATGGGTTTGCCGCCCGAAACGTCGTTAATGAAGTAAACGACTGGCAAGAGTTTCACTCTATCGTTCGCAGAGAAGATATATCTCAGGTTGGAAAGAAAACCTCCGATTGAATTGACAGGAACTCTTTTAGAAAACGACCAAATAACATTTCGAATGATCCGCCCCTGATTAGTGGAGAGTGTTCTCTGAGATTTTGCAGACGGGTATACTGTGGCTTAGTGGAAGCTTTCAAAGCCTAAAAGTCTCTTAAAGGTCAAGGTACTTTTCGACCTGTCCCATATTATGAGCTCCTGTAGGGCCACTTGGTCGTAGTCGAGGGAGCTAACACCTACATTGTTTCCAGGAACGATGTCGCTTGGCATGGCAGAGTGCCCCGTTTGTACAGCGGTTGCGAGCTGGAATTATTAAGCTTGAAGGTAGGCAACGCATAAGTCGGCCACCAGCACAGAGTGACGGCCGTTCGTTAAACACTCTGAAGGCGCGGCCGAACGCAACCACCAGTAAGCTGACAACCTCTCTAGGCTCCGCCAACTGACAACTGCCATGCTTCTCCGCAATCTCGGTTATAGGAAAAAGTTTTTGTGGAGTATCCTCATGAGTTGGACCAGTCTGACAAAGCGCACCGGATAGCCGTGACTGTCAAGGGAACCCAAACAGGTCAGTCCGGCCATTTGCAATGAGATGTGTATACAGATGGGGAGGGGGGGGGGGAGGGGACAAAAAAGTCACTTCGACCGAGTCACATATCAGCAAAGTTTTTGCAGCCCAGACAGATGACGTGGATACGAGTACCAAGGCGGAAGATACCGGAGGATTGGGTGACACCACATGGAATTGAAGGGTGTTGGAAAAAATCTCGCCTACTTGGAATGGAAGAGCGTTGAGTACCTGAAGAAGATGGAATATCCAAGCAGGTCACCTGCCTCAGACCCTATCAATTACCTGGTTTGGGCGGAGTTCAATAGCATGGTCTACAGTGGCGGAGAAATCAACGATCTCGCTGAACTCAGGCCCCGAATCACTATCGCGTGGCAGAATCTCTCGATGGCGCTCCTCCAGAATGCTGTGTCGGAGTGTCATGATATAATAGTATTTAATATGCTGTTGAATATGGTGGTAGAAATGTCTGGTCAGAATTAAATAATGTGTAACTCATAGCGCCTCGAAAGTCAAGGAAGAAAAGTGACTTTTTTGCCCCCCCCCCTCGATATGGATGTGTCTTGAGCCACTGAATCCGCATCTGTCCTCTGAATCTGCGGAGCGATAAGGGAGTTACGGGCCATCTAATCTTTGCACTGTTTGCACAACTTGAGAACGATTACTGATGCGTCAAGCGGCCGATGGTCTAGTGGATAAGGGCACGGCTTCAGAGACATGAGGTCACATGCTGGAACCCTCGACTCCTTAAAACTTTTGCTTTTGTTCAAAACACTTGACATTAGCCCCCAAAAACTTCTGTTTGGCCATTTTACCTAGTTCTTTGATTATTTGTCAACGGAAGGCGGCCGATTCTCCATTTCTGGTTCCTTTTGAAAACTTTTATTACGAAGGTAACCGGTTATGGGTAAAACATTATGAGTGTAAAACAATGCAAGTTCACACTTTGAGCACAGCGAATGAAAAAGTACTCTGCACACAGTACAGTCATAGCTCTCTACCAGTTCAGAGGGAAAGCAGTACTGAAGTTTTGTTTTTAATTTTGAACAATATTCTGTCTATGTGATCTGTGCATTATCCGACATGATCAGCTCTCATGATTATGATCTACCGACACGTGGCATTCCGCACAAGGACATTGCGGTTGCTTTCTTGTTCTGTCGAGATGTTTTGCTTAAAGCTGGCGCAGCTGTTGAGGGACTTTGGTTCCTGTGAAATAAACGCCTACCATCCGAAATGAGCGGAAAGTAATAGACTTTGGGTCTACCTTGCGAGACGCCGGATACGACAACTTGATATTCGGCGTCGACGACGAGGCCTACGTGGAAGAGGATGAGGAAGACCCTATATGAAGCCCAGAGGACGAAAAAGTGCTACGATCTGAAAGGCGCGACAGAAGGCTCCTTTGTTTTTGGCGAGATCGTGATCTCAAAGGAGAAGATGGGCTTTTCATTGAACAGTGTGGTTTACGATGCAATCAACAGAGATACTGCAATGCAGGTGGACGAAGTCATCTCATTTTACGGCTCGCCGGCTAAAGGGAACCGCTCTTTCACTTCGATGAACAGCAAGTACCGCTTTATCTCTAGTGAATACCATCTGGTCAAGTTGCGCCAATTTGAACGAGACCGTAAGCCATACAGTTGCATGAATTTTTTTTTCAAAATTCTGTACAACCTACTGTCTATTATATTACAACATTTGGTTAGGAACGGCTCATGCTGGTTGCCTTACCAGACTTCAAACCCTGACCGCTAAATTGAGGTTGGAAGTGGTGTCGAAGCTCAATTCTGGCATCACTTTGCATGACCGGGATGTTCACCAGATGGCTATGAAGATAAATAGAGAAGAGAAGTTCACCCAAAGTTTCAGGGCAAGCCACGGGTAGATTGACAACCTCAAGAGGATCTGTGGGATAGTTCCCCGTCGTTCCAAGAAAGGTTTTCAGGATAAGGATCGGATTGCGAAAGAGGCCCAAAAGTTTGTCCTGGATGTGAGAAAAGGTGAACAAAAGTATTGAGGTTTTGTAAGCAACTCTGAAGGTACGGTATAGTAGCGCGTGTTTGTTTCTAAAAATGGAAGAATGACCTTTGAGTTCTCAGTAAAGGTACTAAATATACCACCAGGTGCTACGCCTTGATCCAACCTTTAGATGTGTACTTCTTAACGTTTAAAACTATGTATGAACGCTTCAATTTTTATGTATTGACCCATAATATAATTTTTCCTATACATCATAGGGACTCCATTCTCCGTCTTTCATCTCTTATCTATTCTCAATTTCGTTCACCTAGATTCAGAAGCTTCTTATCCTATTTTTGGTACTCGACTGGATACCTCGATGCACATCCTGATGAGCTCGAAACACCTCTTCAGTACTGCTTCCCCTCTGGACTGGTGGAGATAAGACTGTACCGTGCGTGTAGAGTACTTTTTCATTCGCTGTTTGTGAGAACTTGTACTGTTTCTATCATTTCGTGGAAGAATACCACATGTGCAAACCGTAGGATCATCATTCCTTAATGCAAGCTCTAGAAACGGTTACCCTCATAATAAAAGTTTTCAAAAGGGACCAGAAATGGAGAATCGGCCGAATTCCGTTGGCAAATAATCAAAGAACCAGGTAAAATGGCCAAACAGAAGTTTTTTGGGAGCTCATGTCAAGTGTTTTGAACAATAGCAAAAGTTTTAAGGAGTCAAGGATTACAACATGCAACCTCGTGTCTCTGAAGCAGTGCGCTTATCCACTAGGCCATCGGCCGCCTGACGCATGCAGTAGTCTCCTCAACTCTTCTCAACTTGTGCAAACAGTGCAAAGATTAGACGGTCCGCGATACCTTCAGCTCCTGCGCTGCGCAGATTCAGAGGACAGACTCGCATTCAGCGGCTCATTACACGTCCATATATACGCATCTCATTGCAAATGGCCGGATCGACCTGTTGAGGTTCCCTTGTCAGTTTTCTTTCCCTTGTACACAACTGAAGAACTTTTCGGAGATCTTGTGTTGGTAACGAATGTTGTAGTCATTGCGAAAACTATGCACACTTCCTTCACAGGATCTTCGAAGGAGAATAATAGATTGCTCAGCCAGGAGCAGACGGGCATGGAATAAGAATTTCATTGTGTTTTTGGTAGGAATTCACTGTTTTTGGTAGGACTTTAGGCGATGGGTACTGGCAGTGACGCTCACAGTCTAGACTAATCAGCAAAACATGGATGACGTTACGTCTGGATTCATATAGAAACACTCAGTTTCTATCTACTACTTGGCAGTGCGAAGACCGCATGTGAGGATCACGCTATGCCAAAAGAACATCATGGTTCTCGATCAGGGAACGCGACCGTACCCAACTTATTCACCTGACTTAGCAGGCTCTAATCACCACCTCCTTTGATCCTTACCACATCCTTTGAAAAGCGAAAAGAAAAGCTGTGCAAAAGGTGAGCAGTTGTCCTAGTCCTTAGGTGATTACCATGTGGATTGAAGGTGTCTCATAGTGAAGCAAAAGACCGAAAATTTGGTCAAAGTGTCGCAGGACGTTCCTTCTAACCTAATAATACAAAGAAGCCTAGAAACCTTTTGATATTACAAACTATTAGCTTGTGAACACATTCCATTCAGACACTATTATCATGCAAAGTAGTTCCACCGCTATATTACCTGAAAAACGGTGAATGCATATCAATTAGCGGGTATCAGCTATACGACTATGAGTGAGAACAAACTGGAGGTATGCGTCACTAAGGAAAACATCGGGCTAATTATCCTTGATACTAACTTTATGTTGTTGGTCAGACTTATGAGGCTCATCAAGCTATGCACGCGACAATGCGCGCCATGATCCATGATTGATACGTATAAGATGTAGCTGATTTGTAATGAAGTAATCGGAAAGCGTATAAAACAACTAACTTGTCCAGCTGTATCCCATAGTCCGAGATTGACTGTGTGATTGTCCAATGTCATTTGAGCAGAATAGTTGTCAAAGCTGGAAAAGGCACCCGGTGGCAGGCTCGCCTTCACAAATACGACTAGAACCAACATTTGAAATTTCACTTACACAGTGGGTACATACTGCACGGGAAATGAGTCTGTAGTATATGAAATAAGCATACATGTCTTGCCCACAGTACCGTCCCCAACCACCACACATTTGATTTGCCTCGACGGGCTAGACATTACGCCTGGAACTGTTAGCTGAAACAGAACATCACAGTCAGAAATATGTCGTTTCAGCAAGTGAACAACGGTGCTAATGTAACTGGGAGGGAGAGAGGCAGTTGGAAGAGGATGTTCAGTAAGGTCCAATTGGCAGTTCTGAGTCTTTACGCTGTTGCCAGATCTGGCTGGCCAATATTATTAGGGTGAGAATCGAGGCAAATCAAATGTAAATATATTATATTCAGATTAGGTACCGCTCCTTCATCGACATTGTCGACTGCGTGACGTAGATACTGGCGCTAAGCGGTGGAGCGGCCGGCTGTTTCTTCGCGAAAAAAGGAAATTGACGAGAATGGAAATAGAAAATGCGCTGATTTTTTTTTGATTCTGCTTTTTCGGCTGCCTGCTCCACCCCCCTCCCCTCCCCAGGGGACCGGCTGCTCTTTATTTATTTTTTGCTGTACCCTTTCAATAGATTAAACTCCCCATTTCGTTTTTGGCTGGCCGTTTTGGCTCCTTGACTGGTCCTTAAATCTTGCACGGAGAAGCTAGTTGGCACCACATTTGTTGAATTTTTCACCCCTAGGGAGAGATTCGAGCAGGTCACCAGCGCAGCGGTAAGAAAAGCACAGGAAAAGGTGTCCAAACTCAACGAAGCTCGCGAAGAATACACTAACAAGGTAGATCGTTCAGGATATGGCGAGCTTTCTGGAAATGCATATGTAGGGCACCATGCTTGGAACACGAGTTCATTTCTGGAGCGTTACTGCGAATGCCAATAAGTCATCTCCTACGGATCTGTTCTAGCTGCAGCGTAGAGTGAGTATAGTTTACGAGGAGTCCTTTAACTAGGCATGAAGAGCAACGCGAAACAGTATTAAAATCCGAGTACTACATTTCGCTAGACTCTATTGTTCCCTGAGCTTCAATGTATTTAATCATGCTATGGTGAATAAAACTGCAAAGCTCTTCTTTCCTCTGAATCGTTACTTGGCGACGTTTCGAGCATAAGCCCTTCATAAGGTCACTCGATGTAAATCAGAAAATACAGAATTAATGGCAAAACGCTTTTCGGTAAACACAGTACACTCGAAGAAGGTCATGTTTTAGTGCGGTCACTCCTGAAATAAATTCAGGTTCTTGTTGACACGTGAATATTTTTTCGAGGGGACGGCATTACCCTTACAGCGTTTAGACTTCGCGACGGCGGCGCTTCGGTTGCGTTCGAGCGATCGATCGCGCTAGCGTACGACTGCGTCGATCGCTCCGGCGTACGACTGTGTAGCGCGACTAAATAGATCGCGGGCTAGTGCTTCCTTCCTTTATTTCTAGGTGGACTTTTCCAGATTAACTGTGGGAGCTAAAAGCTAAAAAGAGGAGAAAGAAAGAAGTCAGTGTATACAGATGTGAAATAGCATCGGTCCATTTCAGCACTGGAGCGCGATCTAATCAGTCGCGCCTACGCAGTCGGGCGCTTGCGCGAGCGGGCAATCGTGAACTCGAGCGATCGACGCAGTTGTAGACGTTCTGATTTCGCATTCTGAAGAGTGTTTCTTGGTGTTGGTACAACAGATCCAAGCTGACATATCCAGCTTTGACTATACCAAAATTTATGCACTGCCGTGACTACGTCATCTTCCAACTTCTTCGAAAATTTTGGTTCGGGGCAAAAGTTCGGACCAAGATTCAACATTGCCTGAACATCATCCGACCATATAAATGGCACCCGTAACCCATGGTAAGCCCCGCCCACAGTGGGCAGGCGTGCGCCTAAAGTTAGCGATGTCGCTGAAAAAATCCCAGCTCGATTTCAGAGCAGTTCCGAGATGGGGGGAACAGTGCAGTAAAGTTAAGAAAGAGCTGACAGGCCAAAGAGAGGAGACACACCTGGAATGAGCAGGGCGTACTCGAGATGGGTGGCGCTTTTCGTGTCACTGAAAAAAACCATAATTTGGCAAAAAAGTGGAATAAGGTTAGCATTGGACTGGCAGACCATACCAAACAGAGGGGACACTCCTAAAACGGGCGGGGCGTACTTGAGAAGGGCGGTGCTTCCCACAAAGGTCGGCGACTCGGTTCCTGAGAAAGCTTAGAGATCGAAGGAAAGTCTATGACGAGCATGAACATCTGTCAAGAGTCCACTATATTTAGGCGTGCTGAGGCCCGCCTACAATGGGCGGGGCGTGTTTTGAACGCGAGGTACCAGTTTGAAAAAATGGTCTTGTTTTGTTCTAGAGTACTACAGACGGCGCAAAAAGGTGGATTATGGTCCCCAAGTGATCATCTGTTGAGATGTGGGAGGCAATTCCGTTGCGGGCGGAGCGTGGTCGGAGCTAAATTCGTAAAACGGTTTCAGAACGATCCAGATACCGGGAAAAAGTAGTTCAAGATGAACGAAGTATCATCAGTTCACAAGTGTGAAAACCACCCGTTGTGGGCGGGGCGTGTAGCAAGGTGGGCGTAGCCAAATAAAAATGTCGTAAAACGCTCCTAAAGCACTCTAGAGGCCGAGAAGAAGTGGATCAATGCCAGCGTTGGGTCACCGTTTGAGAAGCACGAGGCATACCCGTCCTGGACGGAGCGTGCAGCGGAAGGCGGGGCCAATTTGAAAAATACCTAAACGGTTCCAGAATACTCCAGACTTCGGGAAAAAGTAGGTTGAGGTCATCAGGGGTTACGTTAGGCACCTCTGTTGTGGGCGGAGCGTGCTGCGATGTGGGGGGAGCCAGTCTTGAAAATCCCTACAACTATCCCAGAGCACTCCAGACACTCCAGACCTCTGTGATACGGCCCGACCTTGCGGGGCGAGGCTGCATCGCGCCTACCTGCTTTCGAGTGCCCGACTAATACCCGGCTTTTCTCTCATCTGTACACTGGACCAACGATCCTTACCACCCTGAGCGGGTCCCGGCACACCACAGACACTCACAGCTATCGCCAGATATTTCGCTTCTCCAACGACTTTTCCTGGCTTTAAACTCTTTCAGGACCAAGTGAAATTTTATAGCAAGCACCGCCCATCTCAAGAACGAACACCTACTTTGAGGGTGTTTCCCTAATTCGTTCACTAGCCCCTCGATGAACTTACTCCTTTTTTCACTGTGTGTCCATGCTGTTCTGTAACCGATTTTTGTCCCCCTCCCATCTAGGCGCACGCTCCGCCTGCAATGGGCATCTCTGTCTCATTCCAATAGCCATGCACACACTTAATCATTTCTTACAGTTTCGGGGTTGCCCTAAAAGCGACTCACGCTTTGGTTCCGCCCATCGGTGTGCCCGCTTCGCCCACTCCGTGTGTGGCTCTCCCACATCATTCCCCTACCGACTGTTCGCTTTCACTCACCTTTCCCCGGTCTTCAAGCTTGGCGCTGTTTGTCGACGGGGGGAGGGGCATTTTGTACTTCAACGACTTCCCATCGACGTGTCGACCCATCTAGACAGCCCCGTCTCGAGTTGACAGGTTTTACTGTGATGGCTTGATGAGCTTGCTCCAGCTCCACAGGAGTTTACATGTTTCACTAGACTGAGACTCATAAAACAGAACTAGTGAAGCAACGAAAGTGCAAAATGCCCTACCCCCCCCCCGTCCGCATGCTGCGCCTTCAAGCTTTTATGGGACGGAACTACGAATTTTTGAACTTGACTGCCCACCTCGGCGCAGGCTCCGCCCGCAACGGGAGTGTCCCACAATTCTCAACCGGCGACCAATCGCTGACCTTAATCCACATTTTACCGGTGTCTGAAGTACTCTGCAACCGTCTTACAGATCTATTCGCCTGGCTCTGTCCACTTCGGCGCAGGCCCCGCCCGCAATATGTGTGCCCCACTCTTCTCAACCGGCGATCCCCTCGCTCACCCTATTCTACTTTTTCCGGTCTCTGGAGTGCTCTGGAACAGAACTAGTTTTTCGAAATGAGTACCCTACGATCAAGAGCACGTCCCCCCAGACCGATCTCAACATACTGCAGGCACGCCCAACTTTCGCCAGATGGTCCCCTTCTGCATCGACTTTTTCGTGATCTCTAAACTCTCTCGAGAACCAAGCTATCGTGCAAGTTTTCATCCACATTGGTGAAAAAAAGTGGTGGGCGTCAAATTGGCGCATAATGGCGCAAGATGACGCCAGCGCCTGAAACAAATGTGATATTCGTGATCAGGACATCGAATTACACCTATAGGCAGCGTTTAAGCAAAAAAATTTTTTTCAGTTTTTGGGGTAGGAATAGTTCAATAGTGCCGTGGATCTTGTTGTTTTTCAGCATGGATAGTCATCCAGGTAACTTTTGTTTTTAGCTCGACTTTTATGTAAATTTCACTTACGTGGTAGGGAATTTCTCTTGATTTCGTATTTTTAGTCGTGGTCAAAATAAAACATCAAAAAGCTCTAGCGACAGAAAAGAAAGAAAAACTTACCTCTACAGCAATCACCGTAAAAACTTGGGTGACCAACTAAAAATACGAAACCAAGAGAAATTCCCTACGACATAAGGGGAATTTACATAAAAGTCGAACTAGAAACAAAAGTTACCTAGATGACCATCCATGCTGAAAGACAACAAGCATTCACGAGATTGCCAAAGTTCGGATCTGACAAAAATGAAAAGGATAGCAGAGAACACAATGCAATTT